AACTTGTGCCTTCCATTGATAAAAACAAAACCACAGATCCAAAAGCTTAAACACTCTACAAAATTAATTTCATAACAAAATAATTTTGCCTACTATACTATGTCTCACTTGTACAGTTTGTACCTAATTACGCAATCACTCTTAATTACGTGATATGAAGTAGCAAGCAATAGCAAAGTATGGATTGATAGAAACCATGGAAGAGTGAAATAAAACTTTACCTCCAGATTCAAATCAGTCAAATCCAAATTAAACTAAAAGAAATCTAAAAGCCCGTACATTGATAAACATCAACATCCAATCATTTCTGGAGTGAACTTGAATACAAAACAATCAAATACAAATCAAATCAAATCAATTTTGAAGTTGAAGTAAAACACAAACTATTGAAAACAAATTCAAATCCAGATTGCTACAGTTTAGCGAAGGAAAAAAAAAAAAAAAAAAAAACACCTTACCTAGATTATTTGAAAAACTTTCTTTTTAAAAAAAATTGACACATAAATTTCCAGTCCCAAAGCATAAAAAAAAAAATGCAGAACAAGTGCCTCGGATTTGGCGTTCGATTAGTCGAATAGGTATTTTGTGCTCTTCAGATTCTCAGATCACTCAAATGAAGAGAGATGACCAGATCGAATAGACAGTGATAAAGAACAAGAGATTGAGATGTAGAATGCGAAAGAATCCCTAGATTTTATACAAGATGATAATGAGAGCTCCATCGATAATAATATGTAGTATATAGCAATTTTAATCTGTCCAATCGAACAATACATGAACTACTTATTGTGTTCTTCATAGATCTACAAATATATATATATATATATATATGCATGTATGTATAAGCAGAGAGGGGTTAAGAGAGAGACTCACCAAATCTGCAACAAATTTGACGAAGAGAGATTTATTGTGGATTGAAGCTGTAGATCTCAAATTTGACTTGGAGTGAAGATCTGTGATAGAGAGAGCGAATATCTGTGATGGATAGAGCGAAGATCTGCAATGGAGCTAGAGACAGAGAGAGAAACTGTTTCACATCGTGGATTTGTAAAAGTGAATGGAGCGTGAACAAAGCATGTATTTGATCTAGTGGTTTTGCAATTTTTTCATTATTTTTGGTCCCTAAAGATGTTAATAATGTATTAGCAACTAAATTTATTGGTCTCAAAAAGTTATGTAAATATTAAGGGAGAATATTAACAGTTATTTTTATAATCTTATAAGTAAATTATTATATATGTCTAAATTTGTCTTTAAAAGATTATTTTTAGCGACCAAATTCAATTAGTCTCTAAAAGACTAATTTCTTGTAGTGAATAGAAAAATCCCTAGGGAAAAATGCTGGTCTTCCACTTATAGAACGGTAATTACATTGGCAAGAACCTCTAGAATAGAATTCCCTTGAATTCCACTGGGGAGCATCCACAGTTCCACACAACCTTTTCTCCCTAGGGTATTACACACTTCCATAGTTCCACTCATCAGCCAATAATATTCTACTCTATATAAACCTTTAAATTTTTTTTTGAAAGTTTTAACACATTCAAACTACTTCAAAAACACTTGCTTCAACTTGCAGAGACCTACTAAGCAATGCAAAAGTCCTAGCACATTCAAATTCATTTCAACACCCACCTTTCTCCTACAATCACAAACACCTCAGAGTTTCTGGAGAGAGGGAGTGGACAAGATGACCACTGCAGCAGCTAAGATGCTGTGGTGCGCCTTTGAAGGAAGCATATTGATGCATTACATGGAGATTGAGAGTAGGCCTTACCACCGCAACTGCCCCTGTGCAATGCACAAGTCGAAAGGTGCATGCTCCTCCACCAACACTTGTTTCCAACATAGGAAAATTTTATTCCCTATGAAACAACCATGGAATGAATGTTCCTTTTCCATATCCTTTGCAAGTGACTCATCAGTTAGGAATGAAGAAGATATTAATAATGAGGCTTTGTCACAAAGATGATAGTTGTTTGAGTTGAGTTAGAAGGAAAATGTCATAAATAGAGAAGCTATAGATGATTTGGTGGTTGCTCAATATCAGGTCTATCGATGCTCCTTCCTGCAATGAAATTGTCCAGAGGAGTGAGTGCACTGGTTTCTGCTAGTTTCATTTGTGTAAGTTCTTCTGAGTTTTATTAGTGCATAATGCTACAAATGCATGCTCTATGGCAAATTATGCTGGCTATTGGAATTCTATGGCTCATATTCCTGAGTTTACAGTTCACTTTGTTTACATTGTTGCCAATTTTCTGAAAACACCCGAAACAAGTAGTCAATGGATAAATAAGCATAAGAATTCTGTTTACAATTACAACCCCTTAATTCAAAGCAATATAATCACATTTTATCTCTTAAACCACATTAAATTTGCTCTCCCTCTCTCTCTCTCTCTCTCTTGCAACCACATTGCTTAGGTTATAGAAAATTCCGGTAGAAGAGAAAAGGCTTAGGGATTAAAAGCTAGATTATTTGTTTGGCATATCATTCCAAGTACACCAGTAGTCCTACATATATATATAGTAACAAATAAACAAAAAAGTTAATCAGAAGTTATATGCAAAGACAAATAAAGAAATAAGTCAATCAAAAGTTAGGCATTGTCATTTCCCAAGTTAAGCCTAGGACTACTTATCTATTTCCTCATGTTCTCTATGTCCTTCACCATTATCTTCTGAACAACAGAACGGATCAGTAAGGGACTAAGAGCATCTCCAATGGGCTCATTAACGGCCCATTAGAGTTAGAAACTTTGAACAGTTTACCAATTTGTTAGTCTTGTTGTCACGTTACTTAGACTTTTATGAACTTTACTGACATCACTCTTATCTTCTTGCTCTTCCTCTCTTTCTCTGCTCTAATCACGTAGTTAAGCATTAATTGGAGAGTAGTATTAAACATGTGGAGATCAGGTCAGGAGATTGAAAGACCAGCAAGTAAGCAGGGGAACGGAGGATGGCAACCAGTGGTTCGTAGACATGGGGATCGAGGAGATGGGGTTTTAAGGGGGAATACCATATACTCTATTTTTGTGGACAACATACCAGTATCTGTGGGGGCGAAAGGGCTGTCTAAACTATTCTCTAATTTTGGAGTTGTATTGGATGCATATATTCCACACAAGAGAAGAAGATCTACAGGTTCCAGGTTTGGTTTCATAAGGTATGGTTGTCCGGTAGCAGCTGATATGGCTCTGCAAAAAGCAAATGGCCTTTGGTGTGATGACAAAGCGTTAAAGGTTAAAATGGCTGAGTTCATAAAGGAGTATGAAACTGAACAAAGCAAGCCACAACTAGTACAACAAAGGTGGGTTAAGGAAGGCAAACACACTGTACATGATACTCATCAGGGAAGAAAGTCATATGCTGATGTGGTCAGAGTCAGGGATCTTCAATCTAATTCAGTTCGCACTATTAAGGTACAGAAAGCTGGTAATGGTTGGCTGTATGAAAGTGTAGTGGTAAGATTAAAGCCAACTTTCTCAGTTGAAGATTTTAAGGAGGAGTTACAGGGACGAGGACATGGAGATATCACAGTTAGAGTCAGAGGTGGAAGACAATTAGTTCTCTCATTTCAATCAGTGGAAGCTATGAAGGAAAAGCTACTGTTCATGAAGGATTGGCTCACAGTTTGGTTTAAATCGGTTAAGGAATGGGAAGACAACATGGTCTTGTAACAGGTGAGGCAGGTGTGGTTAAGCTGTTATGGTGTGCCGCTGGCACTGTGGAACAAATGTTTTGCAGTAGAGGTAAAGAGTGGGGTAAGGTTCTGGAATTGGATGAAGATACAGCTAATTTGAAATCCTTCCGTTACGGGAAGGTAAAGGTAGAAACAAGGCACATGGGCACCATTAATCATACCATAAATTTAGAATGCAAAGGTGTCCTCTACCCAGTCTGGATTTGTGAGGAACAAATCATAGTATCACAAATAGTGAAAGAAAACTGTATCTGCCAATCTTTCGTGAGGAACAATGCAAATAGTTACAGTTCAGAGGAAGAAGATGAGAATATTGCAGATCGAGGCAACAGACAAGAGGTAGAAGGGGATGATGTGGAAGCCTATATGGACGATGAGGTGGCTAAAGGCTGTGACGCGGAAGAAAGGGTTAGGGTGGATGCACAAGTTAACATGAATGACTTGGAGGAGGATGCCAGCTTGAGGGTGGTTTCAGTGGTGGAGGAGACAAACATGATAGAGGGTGCGTCAGGGGTAGGCGCCTCACGTGAGGAGGGCTCTGCAAGGAGGCTCAGTAAAGGGGTGTCAGAGAAGGGTGGCGCATGTAAGGAGGGTAGTTATAGAGTTGATGATGAAGTGGTCACATCTAGGTTCATAAGAAGCACGAGTGGGTCTGCAGGGAAGCAACCAGGAATTAACTTGGAAGTGAATTTATATAGAGCCCATTTTGAAACATGTAGGATTGGGTCGGCCCAAAGGGCTGAAGCTCCATTTATTTGGGCCAAAAATAATAGCAAATCTATCACTGAATCTGCTAATGGAGTGGGGCAGTCCAATTTCGAGTTTAGAAGGGTGTTCAATAACCAATCAATTCTTGAATCTGTTATTGGTGAAGAGCAGCCCAACTCAGTAAATAGAAGGGTGAACACAACTTATATACGAAGGAAATCTATGAAGGAGTCAGGAGTAGAAACTAGAAGCCATAAATTTTCTCAGAAGGGGAAGAAAGCAGTGGTAAAGAAATCTGTGAAGCAACCAATGAATCTAAGGAAAGGGGCAGTTTTCAGGTCAGTAGTAGCTGCTATTTCTCTATCCATGGCAAGTAAGTCTAGTAGAGGACGCTTAAGATTATCAGAGGCAGAAGCATCACTTCAGATTGTTAAAGTGTTGGGGGTAGCCTGTGATGGTAAGGAAGAGGAGATGATTAACTAGTTAGAGGAACTAGAGGCCAACGATAGAAGGAAAGTGGGAAGTAGGGGAGGTGAAGCTAACTGAGTTTTTTGTTCTGGGAGTTTGGGTGATAAACAATTCTTGTAATGAAGATACAATCTTGGAATGTTAGAGGCCTTGGTAGGCTTGAGAAAAGGAGAAAAATTAAAAGGGCGGAAAGGAAAATTAGTTTAGTGTTGATCCAAGAGACAAAGCGTTCAACAATCACTCCTGAAGTGGCAAAATCCATCTGGTACGAAGATAATATTGAGTATATGGCAGTGGATGCAGAAGGCAGAGCAGGTGGGCTGTTATGTATTTGGAATCCAAGGGTGTTCCAATTAAATACTTGTTATGGCAACCGAAATTTCATCTTGTTGTCAGGTACTCTCTTTTCCTCCTTTAACTGTGTGATTGTTAATGTATATGATCCATCGGAGGTGGCTAAGAGGAAAGAGTTATGGGTTAATTTTGCACAATTAAAGAATACTTTCTTGGGGCCATGGTGTATGGGGGGCGATTTCAACGAAATAAGGACCATTTCAGAAAGAATTGGGTGTTCTCGTAGAGACAGAGGAATGAGGGAGTTTAATACCATGATTGACCAACTAGAAATGATTGATTTACCAATGCTTGGTAGGAAATTTACCTGGTGCAACTCACAAATTAGAGAGAAATGGAGCAGAATTGATAGATTTTTACTTAATGATGAGTGGCTACAAAATTTCAATTTCAAGTTATGGGGACTTCCTAGGCTACTATCTGACCATTGTCCTATAATATTGATGGAGGACGAAAGAGAATGAGGACCTAGACCTTTTAGGTTTCTTAATGCTTGGGCTCTCCATCCTAAGTTTATATCCTTAGTGGAGGAAACTTGGTCAGAATCTCAGGTGGTAGGTTGGGCTAGGTACAAATGTCTTAAGAAGTTTAAAGCCTTGAAACAAAAATTAAAAGTGTGGAATATTGAAGTGTTTGGAAAGATTGAATTTAAAATCAAAGCTGCTGAAGAGGAAGCCCATGCTATTGAACTAATTGCTGAAGAAAGAGCACTCCTGGGGCATAAACAAGCTAGAAGAAGGGAACTAATGGGGGAAGTATGGAGATTGAATAAAATGCTAGAATGGACATGGTTACAAAAGTCAAGAATGAACTGGGCCTTAAAAGGTGAAAGGAACACAAGGTATTTTCACATAATGGCTTGTAACAGAAATAGTAGGAACTCTCTGTGTTCAATGATGGTAAATGGTGTAATGGTTGAGGAACCTATAGAGGTCAGGCATGTGGTGATGACTCACTTTATGAATCTTTTCTCTGAAACGTGGGCTGTTAGGCCTCAATTATCTGTGCAGTTCAAAAATATCGATGGAAGCCAAGCAGCAGATATATTAGAAGTAGAGTTTACCGAGGAGGAAGTTAGGAATGTTATTAATTAAGAGCTGTGAAGGCAACAAAGCTCCTAGGCCTGATGGCTTTGATTTGGCTTTCTTTAAGAAATGTTGGGGAATAGTTAAACTTGAGGTAATGCTCTTCTTTAGAGAGTTTCATCAAAATGCCACATTGGTTTCTAGTTTAAATAGCTCTTTTATTGTTCTAATCCCAAAAGTGGACAGTCCATCAAACTTGAGTGAATATAGGCCCATAAGTCTTATTGACTCCTTGTATAAAATCCTAGCTAAAGTTTTGTCACATAGGATGAAACAAGTGATGCCACAGGTAATTAGTGAGGCCCAATCAACTTTTCTAGGGGGAAGGAATATTCTTGATGGGATCCTTATTGCAAACGAGATAGTTGGTAGGTAGAGAAAATCAAATAAGAAAGGTTTGGTTTTGAAACTAGACTTTGAGAAGGCATATGATTTGGTCAATTGGGAATTCTTATTCTCTATGTTATCCAACTTTGGATTTGGAACTAAATGGGTGAAATGGTTGAAAAACTATGTTACCTCCACAAAGGTGTCGGTCCTGGTAAATGGTTCACCAACCGAGGAATTTTGCCCACAGCGAGGTTTAAGGCAAGGCGATCCATTGTCAGCTTTTCTATTCAATATAGTGGCTAAGGGGTTAAATATTTTGTTTGATAGAGCCAAGGAAATGGGTTTAATCCAAGGAGTTGTGATTGGTAATAATGGGGTAAGAGTTACGCATCTACAATTCGCAGATGATACAATTCTATTTTGTGAAGCTGAGTGGGTGGAAGTGGTGACCATTAAAAGAATTCTCAGGTGCTTTGAAATTCTTTCGGGGCTGAAAATGAACTATCATAAGAGTGTGATTGCTGGCATCAGAGTAGAAGAGGGTCTGATGCAAAGTTTTGCATCTAAATTAAAATGTGTTCACCAAAATTTGCCTTTAAAGTACCTTGGATTACCTCTAGGAGCTAATCCTAGTAGTTTAAGCACTTGGAAGCCAGTTTTGGACAAATTTAAGCAAAAATTATCCACATGGAAGAGAAGATTGCTATCATTTGCTGGGAGGCTGACTTTAATTAAATCCATTATGAGCAACTTGCCTACTTATTATCTGTCACTGTTCAAAATACCCATGGGGGTGGCAAAGGAAATTGACAAAATTCAAGCTAATTTTCTTTGGGGGGGATTAAACCTTAGAAGGAAAGTTCACATGGTTAGTTGGGAGAATACTACCAAGAGCAAAACTTTGGGAGGTTTGGGAATCAGAAGAATCACTGATATGAATAAGTGCCTCCTACTGAAATGGTGGTGGAGGTTTGGGGTGGAAAATCACTCGCTGTGGAAGGAAGTCATATGCTCAAAATATAACATGGGGGGTGGAAGATGGCTGCCAGATTTGGAAGGAAGAGTTAGAGGCTCAAAAATTTAGTCTGACATAATTACTGCAGTTATCTCTAACCTGTATTATATAATTTCTATCTTGAAAACTCTGCAATTATTTTAGGGAATGGTAGGAGAGCACAATTCTGGAGGAATAAATGGGTAGGGGAGTTGTGTTTAAAGGATAAATTTCCCAGACTTTTCTCTCTGTCTACTGTTAAAGATGGAGTAGTGTCTGACTTCTATACCCGTAGTGGAGGGTTTCAGGACTGGTTTTTGGAGTTTAAGAGACCTTTGTTGGCTTGGGAAGAGGAGGAGGTAAATAGGTTACATACCTTACTTAGGAGTGTACCGGCAGTGAGGGTCATATCACTCGATATATGGAATTGGAGGGCTGATCCCTCTAGGATGTATTCTGCTGCTTCAGGTTATAAAAGATGTGAATCATTATTGGGTCCTGACAGGAAAGAGGCAAGGGAAGTATGGAACAACTCTGCACCACCAATAGTCAAATTCTTTGGGCGGTTGGCTTGGTTAGGCAAGGTGAAAACATCCAGCTACCTCCAGAGAATTGGGATCTTAGATGAGGCTGCTAATGTGAGCTGTGTTTTCTATCAAAATGAGGTGGAAACGGTCAACCATATCTTGCTTTTTTGCCCATTTGTCTGGCTACTGTGGTCCCAGATTATGAAGTGGTGGGGTGTTCAGTGGGTGATGCCAAACTTAGTGGAAGGGTTATTGCAATGGTGGTCATTTTGCAAAATGAAGAAGATTGAGAAAGTGATGTGGAAGGTTGTGCCTTTGGCTGTGCTTTGGTCCACATGGAAGCATCAGAATGATTGTGTCTTTAATGGTTCTCAACCAAATTTAGAAGACTTATGTGAGGTTGTCAGAGTCAGAATCGCTTTGTGGGTTAAATCCTCCCCAGCCAAAGTGGAGTTATCCATTAATGATGTAGTTTTTAATTTGCACCAGGTTCAATATTGTTTCAGGCATGGCAGCTGAGTATAGACTGGCTTGCTGCCTTCATTGGAATCTGGGTGAGTTCTGCTGCTGCTAATCTGGTTGCTCATCTGTGCACTGTTGGGCAGTCTTGAGTGTGGTTTTGTTGTTGAACAGGCTACTGGTGTGGAGTGCTCTAATGTTGTTGCACTAGTGTCTGCTATCTGAAGGCCCAGGTTGTTCTTCTCTTGCCTATGGAGCAATGCAAGAGCTTGGACCATTCCGTGTCCATTATGTGCCTCAGCTGAGGAGATATAAAGAGGTTGAGGTGTACGTGGATGACATGATTGTCAAGTCCAAGGAAAGAGAAGGCCACTACACCGCCTTGTAGAAATTCTTCCAACGGATTAGAGAGTATCGGTTGTGGCTGAATCCTCAAAAATGTACATTTGGTGTTACAGTAGGGAAAATGTTGGGGTTCTTGATTACACAGAGAGGTATCAAGGTCGATCCTTCCAAAATCAAGGCCATTTTAGAAATGCCACCACTAAGGACTGAAAAGGAGGTGCGAGGCTTTCTGGGTAAAGTGCAATTCATAAGACAATTTATCGCAAAATTAACCTTGACTTCCGAACCACTCTTTGGTCTCCTAAAGAAAGGAACGAAGTTCCAATGGGACGACCGATGCCAAGCTGCTTTCGAACAGATAAAGCAATATTTACAAAACCCACCTATGTTGTCACCGCCTGAGCCGGGGAAACCGTTACTGAAACTTCAATGGGCTGCATGCTCGCACAGCAGTCTGAGGACAAAGTGGAGAGGGCTATCTACTACCTGAGCAAGAAAATGCTAGATTACGAGACCTGCTACACTCCGCTGGAGAAGGCTTGTCTGGCCTTGGTATGGGCTACCAGGAAACTGCGGCACTACCTGCTAGCTCACTTCCGTAATACTAGTTTCGAGATTAGATCCCATCAAATATCTCTTCGAGAAAATGGCGCTTATAGGTAGGCTAGCTCGTTGGTTGCTTCTACTTTCCGAATTTGATCTGAAGTATGTGACGCGCAAACCAGTGAAAGAGAGAGCGGTAGCGGAGTTCCTAGCCGATCACCCAGTTAAAGGGGATGAAGCAGTTGAATATTTGTTCCTAGATGAGGCCATTCTGCATGTTGAAGAAGAGACTTGGACGATGTACTTTGACGGGGCATCAAACCAATATGGATATGGGATAGGGGTGTTGCTAATAACGCCCAATAGTTCCCGCATACCCTTAGCATTCAAACTCCGGTTCAAAGTATCGAACAATGAAGCAGAGTATGAGGCATGTATTGCTGGACTAGAAGCTGCCCTGGAACTAGGGGCAAAATGGTTGGATGTCATCGGGGACTCGAACCTTGTTGTATCTCAAGCTAAAGGAGATTGGAAAGTTAAAGAAGAAAAGATGAGAATCTACCATCAGACCTTGGACGTGCTGATTCCTCGGTTTGAGAAACTGAACTTCGCTCATCTGTTAAGAGAGAACAACAGGTTCGCCGAATCATTAGCAACTCTATCTTCTATGATAGACATTCCTTTCGAAGTTCGGATGCGTCCGATCATCATCGAACAAAAATTTGTGCTGGCCTACAAGTTGATTGCTGCCATAGATGAGGTACAAGATGAGAATCCCTGGTATTACGATGTCTAGAACTTCTTGGAAAAAGAGGTGTATCCACCAGGGGCAAATGCCGAAGATAAGAGGGCAATTCGAAGAATGGCTGTTCAGTTCATCGTTTGCGGGGGAAAACAGTACAAGAGAGGTCATCTCGGGATACATAAACAGTGTGTTGATGCTAAAGAATCCAAATGCCTGATGGAGGCCATCCATGGAGGAGAGTGCGGAGCGCACATGAACGGGGTGATGCTAGCCCGAAAGATCCTTAGACAGGGTTATTACTGGTCCACCATGGAGGAGGATTGTATTGGCTTTGTCCGGCGATGCCACAAATGTCAGATCCATGCAAATTGCATGAACATTCCGCCGTCGAAGCTGTACAACATGACTTCGCCATGGCCGTTTTCAGTTTGGGGGATTGATGTGATTGGGGCTATAACTCCAAAGGGGTCCAACGGGCATGAGTACATTCTGGTAGTGATAGACTGCTTCACAAAGTGGGTCGAGGCCCAATCTTACGCAGTGTTGAAGGCATCGCACGTTGCTAAGTTCATCAGGAACAATATCATCTGTCGTTACGGGGTTCCGAACAAGATTATTTCAGATAATGGTTCCCATTTCAAGAAGGAGGTGATCGACTTGTTGGAGAAGTACAGTGTGACTTTTCATAAGTCATCTACATATCAGCCGAAAACCAATGGAGTAGTTGAGGCCGCCAACAAGAACATCAAGCACATTCTGCAAAAGATGGTGGAGACCAACAGGGACTGGCCAGATAAGCTGCCATTTGCTCTTTGGGGCTACCGGACTTCAATTTGAACTTCTACTGGAACAACTCTGTATTCTTTGGTTTATGGGATGGAGGCTGTTCTGCCTATCGAAGTTGAGGTTACATCGTTATGGGTACTGGCTGAGTGTCAGATAACTGAGGCAGATTAGCAGTAAAGTAGGTTCGAAGAACTCATGCTCTTTGATGAAAGATGGCTGAAAGCACTGTATCACGTCCAGGGTTATCAACGAAGAATTGCCAGGGCTTTCAACAAGAAGG